CTCCTCTGATGGTCAAGGGTTTCCTGGTGACCTTGCCAAACCTTCCTTGGACTGTGTGTTAGTCGGAGACCCTTGTGCCCCCTCTTCCCTGCCTCTCTTTCATTAGAGATTAGACTTGTTTTGCTGTTGATGGCTCTCCCAGCTTGCTGAGCCCCCTCCTAATTTTCTCTCACAAGAGGAATTTTCCATAATACAGCAAGTGTACATTTAACCCAAATTTGATATTTACTTCTTGGAAAATTCAAACTTACACACTATTCATATCAAAACTAAGCCTTGCTGAAAATATTAATTCTTTCTGGGTCTGCTCATCTAGTGATAAAATTCACTATCATAGAATTATTAATTTTCTTTAATTTATAGCTAAAATGCTTAGTGCTAGAAACATATTTGGAGAACTGACCCATAGTTTTTCAAGATGTAGACCAATTTCTTCAGGGCCAGCTGTGGTGATTGTTTAAATGTGTCCCAGACCTGGTGAACTGAACTTTAGAGAATGGGATCTGAAAACTTAAATTTACAAACTAGCTCCACAGGTAACACTCATTGCATATTATGGAGAATCACTAATCCTGTTCACATAGGACTAATAGTCAATGGAGGAAGGAAAATAATCCAAATTATTAAACTAAAGTAAGAGTTATATCTAAAATATAGATTCTAGATTCCATTGTTGGTACACAAACTACATATTTACTATCACATCAACTATGTTCTGAAGTTGTAGAAATCCTCACCCTCAAAGGTTTTGATGAGTTGAATAATCAGAATTTACAGTAAAGATATTTGACCCTTTTGGTATATATGGCGCTTGTAACTACCTTGGAAAATCTGACACCTCTGACTATTTTCATAGTGGTCAAGATAGTGGCCAATGATTGTGTAATAAAGTAGGGAGATATAACTACTTTTCCAGGAGTCATAAATCTAAAATATTTACAGTTAATTATGTGGCATAATGAAGAGCTTCAAAATCACATCCGTGGGAACATTTTGGATCAGATATTTGAGTGATCAGTTCATTTAATGCTAATTATAAATATGTGAAATAATAGTCATGAAAAAGTTGGTCTAGTTATTTTGACCAGTTTAATAACTGCATTAGATTTGGTAAACACTGCTATTCAATTCAGTAAAACCAGTCAACCATTTGGTTAGTCTAAGTTAGTTATTTAAAAGCCATATAGAAAATAGGACACAAATTGAAAGGAATTTTGATTGTTGAAGAAACAGCTTATTAAAATGGGCAGAAAAGGGCTGGGGATGTGGCTCAGTGGTTCTGCGCCTGTCTGGCAAGCACAAGGTGCTGAGTTAGATCCCCGGTACTGCAAAAAACAAACAAACAAACAAACAAACAAAATAGGCAGAAAAGCAAGCAAAAAAACAAGAAAAGGGAAAAAATGAAAGTAACAAAGATACAGCTGACCAGACACATGTACAAAGGAAGGATAAGCACCGAATTATAGAATTTGAATTGGCACTTACATGGCACAGATTGCAAGGAAGTAAAATTGTATGACAAAATGTAAGTAAATGTTTATAGTCAATCAATACAAAGACTAGTAAACCACAAATAAGACTAAGTCTCAATTTACTGTATGACCGATCAGCTTATATTACTATAGATCACCATATCAATATTTTTTTCAACTGATTTGTAAAGGGATAACAAAAAACATTCATTGCTATATAAATAGTAGGGAAGTAGGAAAATGCGATATACTGGTCTTTTTTTCCTAGAAAAGCAAAATGCAAATCTTTTCTTACTACGCATATAGAAAATGCTCCAATTGTTGTTATGGAAACACTTAAAGATAAAAAGACATATTATGAAAAGTAAGTTCAAGAGGCAGAAAATTTAACACTGGTAGAAAATCTAGCTCTGTCACAATAGGAAAAAAAATCTTTTGCATTTGTCATAGGACATTCAACATATGGAAAGGGGCCGGGCACTTAGTAAACATGCACATAGTGAGTAAAAGGAATACTAAATTTATCTTTTATGTTTGGAAATCTTAAGAGAGTTTAGGTATTAACCCATGGTAAGAAGATGTTAAAATAAAAAATCAATTCAAGTTCATATATATATATATTCAGTCTGTGAGTTTGGGCTTTGTATCTAAGACTGATTAATATGTTTGGTGTTATTGATCTAATCACTTACCATATTGAGTACCATTATCAATTATGTGGAAGAAGAAAGAGAGAAAGGGGGAGAGGAAGATAATGTAAAAATATTATATTCACTGAAAAGGCATCCATGGATTTAGAAAATGTTAATTCTTGCAGAAATTTATTCTAATAACAGCTGGAGTATGAAAAATATTCTCTCATTTTTATCAGCCATTTTAATGATTATTAATAATCCTCTTGTACCATTCAATTTCATCAAGTAGATTATCTTGATAATAAGGTAACTTCAGAAGAGATGGTTCCAACCCACAGCTAAAGTTGATTTTTTTCATAACCTTGTTTTAAACATTAACTATAATCCCTAAGTTAGACATTTCATACATATATCATAATCCTCTTTTCTTTACCCAACTAACATATCATCTTGATGCTCAGTGGGCTTTTATAAATATTTGTCCTTTCTGAATTGAAAAGTTAGGTAGAAATAACCCTTTTGCAAAATTAGAATCTCTTTTAAAAATATCAGCTTGTAAAAATCAGATATTGAATAATCTATTCTTGGAGTTCTTGCAGCCAGTTTTTACTTACTTGATACTATCGGGACAATTAAAAGAGTTATCACAGCTTAGTTCTGATAACTGAGGATAAAGTCAAATTAAGGATGTACTGGGAAGAGAGAAGTTCCTCTGAACTGGAAAATTGACACTACATTTCTCTGGGAAAGAGAATGCCTTTTTTCACCTAACACTTTCATAGCAACCTAAACTTCATAACTTTCACAATGACCTTGTCCCATGTTCTCAGTTATCATTTTGCATGGGAGTCTCACTCTTTACACTCACCTTCAGTATTGTGAACTCCCAAGAAGCATTGTGATTGAGTTCAAATTAAATATCCTATCTAATAATATAACATGATGATGCCTACTTAGAACACTAAAAGCAGTAAAGAATAATTTTCTAACAAAAATTTCTATTTTATTTGAAATTTTACTGAAAAATTTTACTGAATTTTTTTTTTTTTTTGGTACTGGGGATTGAACTCAGGACCTTGTGCTTAGGAGGCAGGCGGAGAAACCACTCAGCTAAATCTCCAGCCCTGTCACTGAATTTTTTAATTTAAATATATTGACAGAGGAAGATATTTTACCCAACATATGCTATAGTTATATTAATTTTATCATTTATAATATGTATAGAATTGCATTTAAATACATTTTATAATTAAAAGAAGTATGACCAACAATTAGGAAAGGAAAATCATAATTCTTTCAAATCTACAGGGTGAAAGTTAAATGATAAAATCAGGATTTTGACAATTTGATTTCCAGTATGTTCCATCCTTCTTTAACTCAGCTAGACCAAACTTGCAGCACGTTCCAATGAAGAAACAGTCTTTTAAATAATATCTAGTAATTTCAAAGACTTTCCTGCATCAATACAGCATCTTATGTTAGAATATCAAAAACAAATTTGAAGTCAAATATATTCTTAGTTCTTTTACTATATGAATTTCAACAATTTAATTTATTCTCATTTCACCCTACTTTGCCATTTGCTAACAGCTAGGCTTTTAACTTCTTTTATTCTTCTTCAATATAAATATTTTCCCTGGAATGTGCAACCACCAACCTTGTATTTTAAGTAGAATCAATTCCAATTTCTTGACATCTTTATTTTATGTCTTAAGCATTATATTTTTTATTCCTGTTGAGCCATATTTCTATATGATACTAGTTATTTAATAGCAGTTGATGGTCAATGCAATGACAGCTGAGTTTGAACACACGATAAAAAGATACTGAATATTTTACAGCCTGTTCCCTCTAATCTGAAGTCTACAATTAGAGCAGATGTGTATGTGTGAGTGTGTGTGTATACATGTGTGTGTGTTCCACAAGTATGCTATATTAATTTCATATCATCACAATTATTGTGGTTAATTCTTAAGTAAAAGCTTTAATAATTAGTTGCTTGTATTATATTTTTGCTTCCCATAAATATACTGTTTTGATGAGTATTACTTCTATAGAAGTAAATGTTTGCATGTTTTCCAAATAGCCAGGGGAAATTAGGAGTGTCTCAGTCACAATTATGCTGTCCTTGTATAAATATAAAATAAAGAAAGGTTACAAGAAAACTTTAAATACAAATTTGATTGATGGATACTGGGGCATGTTTTCACTTTGGGCAGCATTTTTTTGACATCTGAGAAGCTCTTGTTTCTTTTTAGTTTCTTTCTCTCTTTCTTGTTTGCTTGTTTTCTTTCATTCCTTCTTTTATAACAGAGCAAATGGGTTTTTCCAAAAAAATAAAGGTTCTTAATATGTATTATGCATTTTATTTATTTAGAAGTCATTTTCAAACTTATCCGAACTGTTAGGAATATATAATAAAATTATATTACTGTGTTTACTCTCCCCTGGGTAAATATAACTTTATCTAGAAATAAAATTAATCTAAGTAAAATAAAATAGTTTATTTTGTAAAAGATTTCTTAGAATGAAAACATAAAATTTTAGCAATTTTCTTTTTTTCATTTATTATATCCTGAATTTGCAAATGCATTCTTTAGAAGAGTAGATTTCAGAAGACAAATGTATCTGTGGTTGCACAGAATTTGACATATTTGGTCAAATATTTAAGTTGCTTTAACATTTAATCAAGATTTTTGTTCTATTCTAGAAAATTGTAAAATCAAACAATTGTTAATTTTAACTTAATATTGACAGAAACTTTCGAGTTTAATATTCTTGTAGAAATTAATTTAGAAGCTAGGATTAAAGTAAGTGATATTAGACAGCTAATTTATTCTAACATCATAAAATAAACAGAACTTTATTGTATAAGATTTATTTAACAAGCACATAATTAATAAAAGTGTTTTATTACATTAGCACTGATATAGTCAATAACAGTCTTCAGGCAAAGATGTGCGTTTTGAAATAAGCTGCATTTAAAAATTTACAATGTTCAATTAATACAGCTGTACATTATTTTAATCAATATAAACCCTATCATACATAAAATTAATAAGGGTTTTAACCTTTTAATAAGACTTTCATTTGAGAATAAATTTATCAATATTGAAAAACTCATTTTAATGCAAATAACATTTCTCCTGGGTTTGCACATACTGCCGCCATATCTACATATCTGATTATTTCTACTTACAGTGGGTTCTTTGCTGAGTCTTTGCAAACTGAATATGGATATAAATTAAGAAGGTTTCCAGGGCCAAAATCATATACGTAAGAGTGGTGCAGATTTCTTAACTTCTTTCTTAACACAACTAACTTTTTATTCCCAAATTTAAAGTATGAGCAAAATCTCAGTTAATTATCAAAGCAAAACAACAAAAATAATTCTTTACATTGGAAATTCCTTAATTTTTTGAAATTATAGCTTCAAAACAATTAATCTATGCTTTGTATCTTTATTTTAATTATTTTTTTTCCATTATTAGATCTTAGGCATGGAAAAAATAGAAAAAAATTGCTCCATTCAACTCCTAGCATAGAGGTCTTCCGTTCTGATTTGGAATTTTATGTTCCAAATAAAATCTGGGAAAGGAAAAGCACAAAATACTAATACAGAAATGACACGGTAAATTTCAAAATAGTGACTTTTCACTATCCTACAGAGTAGAAAGCAATGACTCAAGAAATGTTCAAAATAAAAATCAGGTGGCCCTTTCAGAAGCAAAATATGATGAGAGCTTTTAAATTTCACAGATTAAACGTTCTTAAGAGCTTAATGTTTCCTCCACTTGCTGAGACTTGGTGCCATCTGGCTTTTGTAACTCGTGTCCTGACTTTATATGGGCAGCAGAGGGCGCTTCGGTATTTATTGTTGCCTTCAGATACCTCCCAATGCACCGAGCTAGATCTTGTTCTCAGGAAGGAAACACACTATTTCCCTGAGGGCTTGAGTATCTCAATGGGTCAAATTGTTCCTAAATTATTCTGAGAAGCTTTAATTTCAGTCCACTAGATGAAAGTTGTGATTGTTAAAGGACTCCTACAGCACGCTGTGCAGAAGTTCTCCAATTGAGAAGCCTGGGTTGTTTTATTACAAAACTTCTGAGCATAGAATTTCATAGCAGGAAACATTTGTAATAGGCATTAAACTGGATGCTTATTTTTGAAAGCAACTGAAAATAGTCTTAAAATCTTGAGACATTATGGATCAATAACCACTCTGAACTTAATCTTGGCAACTACATTTCTAAATTGTGTGTTCATTCCCTTATTTAGGCAGTAACACTCATATCATATATTTTATTTTCTTCTAGAAAGCAATTTTTAAAAGTGATTAAGCTTTTTAAATCTAGAGTTTAGAACTGTGTTAAACAGGTAGGATTAGAGTGTGGGGGATTAGGTGTGCTCTTATTATGTAATGAGTTACAACAGAATGCAAGCAGAAATAGTTCGCCTCTTTAGATGGTTGCTTTGGGAAATTCACATGGGGAGATGCAGAAAATCAAGGGAATTGAATGACTACTGGAAGGAAGTGGAGTCATCTGTGATAACCTCTGTTGCTTAAGTCCATTTCGATTTTCAATGGCTACTTTAAATTGGCAGAAGAAAAATAATCCCAACCTCTTCCTTATCTTCTTCATTTACTTGGTAACTCTTTTTTCCCAATGTTTTACCTACTTTTTCTCAAGTTATATAAAATTAAATGTAAACTTAAATAATTATTGCATACGAAACACTCACAGAGCTCTAAAATGAGAGGAAAATAAAATCTGCCCCAAGGCTGGGGGCAAAGAGATAGACTGCTGAGGATATTGTGCTTGGCTGCTTTCATTTCCTGAATCATTTGATGCATCTTCATCATTCAGGTGTAAAACAACAAATGTAATGAAAATATCTCTTTTAGGCTATTGTCAATGTATGACCCATTTCAACATCTGCATTAAAAAATCAGTGTTGCTGCCTCTATTACCCAATCTATATCATTTTATCTGTTACTTATTTTAACAAGGTTTACGTCAGTGACTTTATAAACTAACACATAAAAAACGCAGCAATATCTTTTTTGAGCCCAGACTGGCTACACATTTATTTCCTATTTCTTTCTTTCCCTTTTAATTCATTAATTAGGGCATTTAAATGTTATTGTTTATATTTAATACTCTCAATAGCTAAGTTGGGATAATGAAATATGCTGAGAATTTTAAAATTTGTTGAAAATATCAATACCCACACATCCAACCCTCCACTACTACAGTACTAAAGTAAATCTTCATTGCATGGGATTTACTAAGCCATTCTGCCTATTTCCGGTAGGCAGGCAGAGACTAACAGAAGGATGCTGCTGTGGCTGATTTTTCCGCAGTGCGGGTTTCAGGCCTTCAGATGCTGCAGTGCCTCCCGCTGGCGGGGATGCGCTGAGCAGAGTCCGGTGCACCGGTGGCCGGGAGATGTCCGGGAGCTTGGCCTCCTGGGCCGACATAAGAAGGCTGTCCTGCTACTAGCCTGTTCCTCGTTTCCAGGCTGCATTGGCTACTGCCAGGTCTCACTTAGTCACTCCCAATCCTGTTCCTTCCTGGCAAATCTTGAAGTCCACACTGGAGTCTGTTCAGAGTCTCTCTGATAACTACATCAGCACTAAGATCCGCAGTTGAGGACTTTGTTTCCATATTTTAAGGGAGACGATATAAGAAAGAAAACAATAATAAAAACCCTTCATTCTGCTTCTCTTTCTTGCAAGCCTGGCTCCTTGTTTTTACGTATTTAGGTTTCAGTCTAAACCAACTTAAATTGTGTTCCAATGTACATACACTGTCTGAAGGTGAGTACCTACTGAAGATGGAAAAGTAAGCTCAAGTGTGGCAATAGCTAGTGTACAATTTCGGTAAAATGTTGTTTCGCTATATGTGACCTCTCCCTCTTTTTAATTTTTATTTAGTAAATTACCTAACACCCTGTTACTCTTTCGGGTGGAAGTGAGACCTACTGCTTTTCTGGTTGAACTAGGGAGCGAGAAGGGGGTCAGCACCACGGACAGCGCCAGGCGCGGAGGGCGCGGCCACTCGGGAGCATCCTCGAAGCCGCACTCCTTTGTTCCCAGCCACTGCAGGCCAAGGCAGAACAAAGACATCTCTCAAGGCAAGCTTTTTCAGCCTAGGTTTTCCTTAGGCTCCAAGGCCGAGGTGTGGAACTACTGCCCGAACAGTCAGTCTACCTCACTGGCTTCCAAATAATTTACCACATCCTTGTAAAGTTTCTGAACTCGGTCTTTCACCCTATTCTATTCTTTTTACTGATTTTGGCCTTTGTGACAGCACCAAAACAAGGAAGCTATGCTCGCGTTTTAAAGGTAAGGAGGCCGAGGACTCCAGATTGGAAGGAGAAAGGGAGAAGTCAAGGCCAGGTCGAGCGGGGGCTGTTGTTTCCATCTTCGCTCCAGAGTTAAACAATTTTAGATTTCTTGTTCCGTGTGGTTATGGTACCATAATCTGTGCTATACTCCCCTCTCTTCTATTTTGTTTCGCCATCTGACCCAGATTGCAGATTCATGTGTTGAAAAGCCAGTTCTCTCTAAACGCTTCTGTGGGATATTTGCACAAATGGGAACTACTGCTCTCCTGACAGCTGTCGATGAAGCCCCTAAAATCCACCTTGGGAATTTGCCTCCGGATTTCGGAGGCTTTTACTAAAAAGTGCGACTCTTTCACTTCAAAACACTAGCTCATCTCTGCAATCAATGCGGCGGCATTTATGTGGCAAGGGATGGCTTCATGATACCACTCTCCACGATCCCCAGCCATAGTCTCTTCCCCTTGCCGCCTCTTAAACGCTCTAGCATTCTCTAGGTGAGCCTTAGGCTCCGCTCTTGGCATTCACCGCGTGCCTTAATTGTATGACATTAAATCAAGGTCCGCTGTGAACACGGAGGGCAGAGTCTCTGTTCTTGATCCGGAAAGTAACTGACCCGCCAAAACTACCACAGTTCTCTTCTTGCCCTTCCCCTCCCCGGAGCTCTGGGTCCCTTCTCCCAAGGTCCTAACTCACGCGCCTGCTGCCGCCTGAGCTCGCCTCCAGCCACATCTGCCAGAGCCCAGAGCCGCTGTTAATGAGTCTGCTGGGTAGAAGTCTAGAGTATTCATGTGTCTGCGTGTACACATGCATATATCTGCATGCCATTTACAGCACACCTAAAAACATACATTCGCTTGTAAATCTACTTTTCAAATGATGGCACGGATCGAAGTTAATTGCCCCGCAGGCAGAGATATAATTTTGCAATCGTGTTATTTTACTGAAGGCAATTATCCGAAGCGCTTCACCTTGACTCCTTCCTAAGGCACTGGTAGAGAATGTCAGGGTTTAAGGACCCCGCCGTCCCATGATCTGTTGTGGAACCCTTCGTCAATCATTTCTGCTTCTGAGGAAGAAATCTAGCATGTAAAAGGGAAAAAATTAACATGCGTGTGTGTATGTAAGAGAAACACACGGATTCGCCTCGTCCTGGGGTCTTCCGATAATGTTACCGCAGTTTGGCTAGGGAAATTTTGGGAAAAGATGAGAATCCAAGGGCGCTCGGGTCATCTTTCTTTGTAATGCGGAAAAATTAACTCAACCGCACCTGCCTGGTCCCGGGAGAGCTGGGCCGCCCATCTGGTCTGGGGACGATTTTGCTGCATAGAGAAAAGCCTGCTCTTAAGGCTTCCCCACCGCCCCGAGTGCGGACCCTGGGTCTGGGCCGGACCGGGGGATTTCGGCTGGAAGCAGCGCAGCAGACACGCACTCCTCGGACTTCGGCTTGAGGTCTGAGGCTGAAAGTGCTCGGCCCGCCGAGGGAGGGCAGGCAGGAGAAAGGAGGGTGAGGGGAGTGGACCTCAGCGGGCGGAGCCCCGGGGGCGGCGGGCGGAGGCGGCGGGCGGCGGGCGGAGGCGGCCGGGGCGGCAGCTCTGTTCGCGGCGTCCCCACGGCGCGGTGGGCCGGAAGGAGCGGCCCGCTCGGGCTGCGTCCGAGGAACGGAGAGAGCGCCCAGAGCCAGTGCTGCGCGGAGACCCCAGAAGGCGCCCCTGAAAAACAGAATCGAACCACACAGTTAGAGAGGCGGGAGGGAAGGGGCAGCCTGTGCAGACCCGAGAGGGAGGGACCAGGGAAGGAAAACAGGGTGACGCGAGGACAGGACCCCGGTCGGCTGGCCCCGACCTCGGTCCCTAAGCTTCCGCTGGGGGCTGAGAAGCGGAGCTGGAGGGCAGGGCGGCAGTTGGGAGCCCAGGTCCCGGCTGAGGAGGGGCCAAGCGCCCCGGACACCGCCTTATCCTGAGGAGTGATTTCCGGAGCCGGAGCGGAGGGAGCGGCGCGGACGTCCTCCCGGGCAGGCTCAGCCAGGAGTGCACCCTGCGCCCCTTACCCCAGTCTCGCGCCCTCCCTAAGACCACGTCGCACCCGCATTCTCCAATCCCCACCCCTTCTTGGCTCAGGAGCCTGAAAACTGCTAGATCGACGAGTCCCAGCAAGAAAAGCAATCGAAACGATCGATGAGAGAAAGAATCACCTAGACCCAGAACCCTAGAGATCCGAAGGAGAAAGACCTGCTAGCCCTGCTCAAACCTGCAGAGGACCAAAGCGTTTTCAGTCGCTGCTCAGCGCGTTCGCGGAGGAAAGAGGAGACTGAGAGGCCCCGGTGGTATAAGGTGCTTTAGGCTGGGAGGTGGGGTGGGGAGGGCGTGGGTCGGAGCGGTCCGCTCTTTCCCCCTCGCTTGCTGATCCAGAATTAGGGATTAATGGCTCGCTCCAGCCAAACAAATAAGGCATCTGCCTTCAGCACAAGAGGATTACACGGGCTGCTGACGTCACCAGTCAGACAGATGTTGGCTCCCAAAGTCCTGAGCAGCTCGCTGTGTCCTTGAAACCAAAAAGCCGCAGAAGGCTCGCAGCCCCCAAGAGCTGAGCCTGGGCACAGCAAAGGGCAAATGCCCTACCTGCACTTAGGCTTTCCTTGGTGGTAGCACAGCGGCCCCAAGACAACTCCCCAGACGCCTGACCCGCATCCTCTCACGCCCTTCCCTCAGAGTCCTCCGTCATTGCCCAGGCTCCTCTCAAAGCAAGCCAAAGTCACCACTCTCACATGTGCCACCCTGAAAAAGGAGAGAGCCCACCACCCTCCGACACCTCATCCAGAATCCCCCCCCCCCAAGCTCTTGGGCTCCTATGCACTCACTCTTCCTTGGTTAACAGCAAAATAAGCACATTGGGCCAAGTAGAGAGCAAGGTCCAGATAAGAGAGCTCCTTCTGATTGTGTGGGCAAGCATCTTCTCCAGTCAACCTCGCCGCCGCCCTTTCCCCTGGCCAAGGTCTAGATTTATGCTTAATCTTCTCATGAATGCCATCCCTGAAAATGTGCTATCCTAAACAATAACTCTTCTCCAACCTAGGCTGTGTCCCAGCCAGAGCCCTGGGCCATCTTTCTGTGAACGACGGGACCTCACCATGGTCCTGATCAGGACACCACAAAATGCCATTACATGTTCTTTTCAAGTACTTTGAAGATGATGATTTAAAAGAAAAATGTGTGTGTGTTCAAAACATATCTAGCATCTAAATTTAGACACCTGCAATTTAAATAACTGCATTTCATTCTATAGCCAAGTATGATGGAAAAATATCAAGAATTTCTTCCTAAATGTCAACATCACTTTAAATTGATGTTGTTTAACCTTAACTATAAACAATTTTAATTTCTCTAGCATGTATATTATTTTTGCTTTATATGATTTTCCAGGCCTTTATAGTTTACACTGAAGTAAGGTTATGAAATAACCCAAAGGAACATGAAATTGGAAATTTCAATGAGCAATTTTGAATGCATTATATAACCCATAAAGAAATGGTTTTAAATTGTGTCCTTTTGAAAAGGGAATAGACAATTCAAACAACGTTCTAAACAAAATAAATTAATATCTAACACGGAACCACACTGAAGAAATCCTGTGTCCCAAATTGAATCAATACATATGAAAAACCTGTAACTTTCTTGCAAATAAAATGAACATTTATCTACAACATTGCACTGTCAGTTATAGACTACAGTATCTAACCAGAAGTAAAAGGAGTAGCTGGATTACATCTTCATTCATATTATCCCTGTCTATCAAAGTGGCATTTAATTTTTCCAATTCTATGCATTAAAAAATTCAGTCACTGATAAAAATCAGTTTAATTTGCTCTAGTGTCATTCAACTGATACCAGGTTAAAATAGTAAAATTTCTCTATCTCCACTCTGCTTCAAAGCCTTCTAAGAAACAGTCCATATTTAAAATGAATGCATTTAAATGTGTTATTTACCAATAACAAAAGGTAGGCTTCATCTTATTTTAATTGGGTAAACAGCATGTACTATTTGAGACAAGTTAAATCCTGAACACACAAATTATTTCTTTAAAACTTGGCAGAATAAGTTTGAAGCGCCATGTTTTAAAGGGATCTAATTCCTCTTAAAAATTATAAAGTTTGTCTTTTCTCCTAACATGTTTTGAATGTAAGCTCACAAAATTTTATTGGAGCCCTTTTGACTCAATGATTTAATATTAGTTCGCTGTCCATGGTCTTGAGCTACATGAAGGGCCACACTAGTGGTGCATTTTAAAGAATGAAAGTCACAGTGCTTCTGCACAAAAATAATTCCCTAAAATTTTAAGATGATGTCAAAGGAGGAAAAGGTCTATAGCCTTAAGTTCTCTTCCTCAACCAAGCTATCATTTTTTCCTTATATTTGCCACCAAACAATACAGGAAGCAGAAAGAGAAAGTTTGCGTTTGATTATTTTTAAACTCACAAAATCGTCAACGCATGCAAGGGTCAAAGAATTGTAGTAGATAGAAAATAATATTTGTCAGCCTGACACCCTCTCCCTCCCCTCCCCCTCCCTCCCTCTGCAGTAAGAAGGTAACAGACATTCTTGCTCAGGTGTCCTTGTTCACTTTTGCAAATACTGAAAATTTTTACAAAAATGACATGTGAAGATAAAAAACTCACACAACAACCTTCTCAAGCATCTCCCTGTCTCCATTATAGATACAGCTACAGACAGCTATAGACAATATAGATCTAGCCAACACACCACACACACCATTAAATTGAATCATAACATCTTGTACTTTTTGGCCAGAGCAATCAAGGCATATACTCAAGTGGCTCAGACTATTTAATCATTCCTCAATCTAAAATAATGCTTCATCTTATGTTTAAAAAATGAAAGAGTGACCCAAGAGAATAACATTCAACCCTTCCCGGTGTTTCATCCAGGGGAAGGAGATGAGGGTATTTCTCTTTCCTGTTCCAAATTTTATTTTTTGTGTGTTCTGTTTCCCCTTTCAGGTTATCAGGACAAGGATGTTATTCATATGTGTGCATATAAACACAGACAGACAGATACGTAACTTCCCAAATCCTGGGAGCCTCCGGCAGATCTTTTGGAGGGCAACGCGCTGCACAAATTTTTGTTCTGATACAAGTGCCTTAGCGGCAAGAAAACAGACTCATACATTCAAAGAGAGGTGGGTGCCCACACCAGCCCACCGAACAGAGCTTCAGCGAGTCACACTTTTTCCGGCATGAGGAGGCTACTTTCCAAAAAAGTATTTAGAACTTGGGAAATCCTTGTACCGGAAGAAAATGGCCTAAACACAATAGGACTCGCCATTTTCTCCTTGCGAAGCACAAAGCGCTTGGCGCTGCCCGCCACACAAAGAAAGCGTGGGCCCCGCGGAATTCTTGCACATTTTCAAGAGGCCCCCCAAACACCTTCCCAGAGCCACAATTCCTATCTCCTGGGCATTCTCAGACGCAGGCACACGCTCTCCCATCCTCCCTAGGCCCTCATCTCCAGAAGATTCTTTATTTGAGATGTGGATAGCAGACACGCCGCGGGCACCGTGGGACTCTGGAGGTAGTTAACCCCGGCAAGACCAAGTCCCGAAAAGTAAAGGACAGGGTCAGGGGCTGCCGAGGAAGGCTCCAGTCCAGGTCAGGGGCGACTCGGATCCCCTCCCTGCTCCTGAGCTCCCCGCTTCTAATTCCCTTCCATCTCTCCTGCGCGTCTGCTAGCCCAGGAACTTAGGGATCTCTGTGAACCGCTTTCCATCCGGCGCCAGGAACCAGCCTTGCCACCAGGAGCTGAGCCGACGGCTCTCAAAGGTGCTCGCTACGTGGAAAGCCCTGGACTCGGCGCCGCCCCCCCCCCCCCCCCCCCCCCCCCCCTCCAAGTCACCGCATCTTAGGCAAATACTGCCCAGTCCAGCACGCCCAGGGCGGGCGAAACACTAGTGCTCAAGTGCGCAAAGTGCAAGCTTCGAGGAAGCTCCCGTGAATAAAAACAGCAAAACCGGAGCAGCGACCCTACTCACAAAGCGAACAGTCCCAGCCCACACGGCGACGCCAAGCCCAGATAACGCAGGAAAGGAGTACTTACAGCCGGCGTGCGTTTGGGTAATCCGCGTCCCAGCCCGTTGGGTTGTTTTTGTTTTTAAAAATATCTACACTTGTCTATATATTTGATTTTACATTATCTTCCACTGTTGAGAACGAACGAAAACAAAAATCTCGCAGTCTGGCAGGGATGGGGGAGGGGGTGGAGGTTTTCATTGTCTTCGCTCCGAACGCGCAGCCCAAGGAGAGACACTCAGTGCCTTACGGGGCTCCTACTTTCTGCTTGAAATTCAGAAGCTTTCAAGGCAGTAAAGGCAGGGGTTTGGTTTCCCTCCCTCCCTCTGCGCCTCTCTCTCTCTCTCCCTCCCCCCGTCTCTCTCTCTCTCTCTCTCCTTCTCTCTCCTCTCCCCTCCTTCTCTCTTCCCTAGCTCGATCCCTCTCCCTCTCCCTCTCCCTCTCTCTCCGGCGCTCGCGCCCTCTCTCTCTCTCTCTCTCTCTCTCTCTCTCTCTCTCTCTCTCTCTCTCTCAACAGGGCAGGCCGCTTCCTGCATCCCAATGAGTTAAATCAGTCACTTACTTCTCATGCATCAGCAGCCTCTTTAACAACCCGAGGGCGGCAGGCACAAAAGAGCATTTAGCTGCCTCCAATTTGTGAAGAAGGCCTGTCCTTAATTTGTTTTTGGAGTATAATGAAATCATGAATTTCATGTAATATAAAAATACAGAATTCCTAACTTTAGCGAATGAACTGCTAATGGTAACCTTTGAAAATAAATCCCTCTTTTCGTTGATGTTCTTAGCTAGGACCTAGAACATCCCAGATGCAGAGAGGTGTAGGGTTTGGGCCCAGATCTACCCCTCCCCCCTTTCACACATCAAGGTCACAGTCATAGGATCCCTCCTTGCTTTAAAATGGAGCCTTTTTATCAGCCCTTTGCCTGGGAAGGGAATTAAGTCTTTTTCTTCTGGTCTGGGAAGATCTGAAGGATTAAACAAATAAATAAATAAATACATCCTTCATCTGAAATACACACGTAAGCAGAACCAACTGCAATCAGACGCTGGAATGGGGGGTGAGTGGAGATACTGACAGGCCTTGGGAGTGTGATTTCCTGCTCCCCCTGTGGCCCCCGGAGAATTTTAAGGTCGTTGGGTTTTGCTTGAGTTTCTTCTGGCAGCTTGAGTGGGCCTTTGGGGGCTACTGGGCCGGAGCCTCTCCAGCGCTTAGCCAGCCTCTGAGGGGGCTTGGTCTCACGGACACTGCCGGGTGTTGGTGGTAGGGGCCATATATATATATAGCTCCCCCTCCTCTGAATGGGCTGGGGCACAAAGAGCAACTCTGCCTTCCCACAGTTTCTCTCTCCTGAAAATACCCCAGACCAGGCCATTGTTCTTCCTCAATGAAAGGGGCCAAGGGTGACAACAGAGAAACCTTCCTTCTTTGGGCTCACCACCCATCTTCTCCCTCATTCCAGCCAGAGCTACTGCTGAGGAGACATTTCCGAGTATTTTCTTGTCCTGAAGGCTGTTGTCTGGGACATCCTGGGATCCAGTAGCACTAATATCTTAGTTATCTTTGTAGTCTCTTCAGCAGTATTCCATAAAGTCCACAGCCAGCTCCCACCTACCCCATTTTCTAGTTCTAACAGCGCTTATTCAGAAACACTGTGCTCAAGATACCAAAGACATTAAGATCGCTGATAACTGTACATATTTAGTTCCACCAAAAGGGAGCAAAAGAGCCACTTCCTGCCTCTGAATATTCTCTTTTGTACACTAAATCACCCTGGCATTTCAGTAAGGCCATGTTTCACCTTGAACATATCAAGCCACGTTTGGCCATGCTGCTATCTCAGGAGGACTAACAGGCCGCCAGCACCCACATAACATCTGCTTGAAATATCCTAAATTACCCTCTAACAGGGTCATTTGCAAAAAGCAGACAACCAAAAATGAAAAGGGAATTTTAAAAAATAGAATACACTTGTCTGTGTGCAAGTATGTATGATATAATTCCAAAGTGCTGGGTTTAGAGGCTTGAATTACTTAAGACAAAACACTGTCTCCATGGCTGGGTCCAAACCGAAGGCCTCACTGCTCCAGGGTTTTATTTTAGTGAAGGGACAACTTTTTCTTTCTTTCTTTTTCTTTTTCTATTTTTCTTTTTTTTCACT